GTGCTTGTAAAGCTTATAAAAAAACCCGCTTTATGTGTGTGACGAGCGCTGCACTGCACAGCTTGAGGCAGACACTGCTAAGCGAGCTCTGGAAGCTGGAACAAGACTCCTTGCCTTGTTACAAGCCGCGTACCCTCGGCTGCGTTTCAGAGCTCCGTCCCGCACGGCCTGGAGGCGGGAAGCGAGGGCGGACACCGCCGGGGCGGCTGCCGGCGGCGCCGAGGGTCTCCTCGCTGCCCGCCGCTGAGGTGAGGCCCGGCACGCGCAGCGGGGAGCCGCCCGGCCCCCTCCCCGCAGCCCGGCACCAACGGTCTCCCGGCGGCCGTTACAGCGGCTCGCGCCGGACTACGCCTCCCAGCAGCCCCCGCGCCGCTGTGGCGAAGCCGCTTACATTCTCATGAGAAGTTTGTAGACTCCAGACTTTGCGGTGGCAAGCCTTGTCTAACGGAGGATTTGAAGATCAGCCAACGTGTATATCCAGACAAGCTGCATTAACAAACTTAGCACAAAGCAACAAGCCATTAGTTTGCTTATGACAACGTTAAGGCAAGCGTCCAGGACCCCCATGTTCCCTTCAAATATTTTACAGGAAATCTGAATTAAGTAGGAAGAGTTCAAATTAAAACATCTGTAGTTCTGAGGAAAGGCACAGACAGCAAGTACAGAAATAAATGGTTTAGGTGTAATGACAAGACAAAAAGCCTCATGAAATAAAAACATTTTAAAGAAGAAAAAAAATTACTTAGCCCCCCCCCCTTTCAAAATCAGAGTCAACTCTTCCCAGAGTTTTGACGAGGCCACTGGACAGCGCGGGCAGGCAAACACCAACACAAAAGGAGGTGAAGCTGCAGCAATGCTGATAGTGTGAAGTGCAATACAGGTACATCCAAGCTAGCTTTGATCTGGTCGGTTCATGTACCCAGGGCAATAAAATGCCGTAGCACTGCCTTCCATGTGGCCTGACCTACAATCTGATGAGGACTCAGGTGTCTGGGCAGGTACCTTCAAGCATTTCCTTTGTCAGGGCCCAAGCTAACTGAGCTACGTTGGCCTGTCTGTCTACATGTACTGTAATCTCAAACCACTGTAATTTCTACTGGAGGAGGTGCCAGAGGAAGAAAATGGAGTTTTTTAAAAAAGGAAAAAGTATACAAGTTTTGTTGCAATTGAACTGCTGGCTTCTATTACATTGGGAATATTTAAAAACAAATGACTGACTAACAGCATGAACACAAAGCGGACAGCAGAGGAGAAGCAGACTCACCTTTTCCAGAAGTGACATCAAATACTACTCCCTTCACCGCCAGGTAAATGGGCTGTCCTTCCTGGAGAGAGAGCCAGCGATATATCCTCATCACTTAAGCACAGGCGTAAGGCAATTAGTTTTAGCTATAAAATCCACAAGCACTCAGGACACAAAGAGGAGAATTGCATTCTCTGTTGTATGTTTTCTCTTGTTTGTGTGTGTATACATACATACACGTTATCTCTCTGGGAATTTCTTGCTTGTGCTTTAAACTGCCCCTGGTATTATTATTTTCTTAGGATTTAAACAAATGGAATAAGACAATCTTTTTAATCTGAACGTCACAATCACAGAAGACAAGTCCCCCTTGCAAGTCACCTTTTGTCTGCCTGAAGATGATCAACTGCATTTTGCCATTCCTAATGCAGATGGATATTGCCCAAGATAAAAGGGCGTGTGGCCAACAGCATTCTTTATTCGATTGAAGACAACAGATAAATACATAAACACACACAAATCTGATCCGCTGACATCTGTTTTACTTAATAAGCCAGTGCTTCTGCTTTGTCTTTTATGCACAAGATGTGTTTTCAGTCAGATGCTGGTTAGTTTCTTGAAAGTGGCTAGAGAAGACCCTGAGAAGGTCAGCCAGCAAGTACTTCAAGAAGAGAAGACAGATGTGTATCAATATAGGACCTTATCATTTTGAATGTGAAGTTCTGCTGAGATTTCTGCATCACAGAAAGCTATAAACTACCAAGTTGAAATTGCTTTGTTATTTCTATAATCTCATAGGGGAAGAAAAAAGGGTCTAAATACATAGTTTAATTAATTGCTGAGAGAAAATTACTTTGGCTCCAATCTATGGTAATCAGAAATTCACTGATTGTCTGTACGCAACTTTAAGGGACCAAAACCAGCAGCTGGCAGGAGCACAACTGACCAGCTGCCCAGCAACACGCCGACCAGCGCCGACAAACTTCTCGCCGATGCCTGAAACGCAAGTTACCCCGTGTTTCCCGGGAGGGGGGGAATAGCAGAGCCCGAGAAAACCAAGTTTTAAGGCGGTTTCCAGGGCACCGAGCAGCAGGGAAGGAGGCAAGGCTGGGGTCTGTGCGGCGCCCCACCGGCCCCGGGGTACGGGCCCCGGCCGGGAAGGCTCGGGGGCCCCGGCCGGGAAGGCTCGGGGGCCCCGGCGCGGGGCCGCCTGCCTCCCCCCC